TCCAAATTTATCAATGTTCGTAGACACTTCTTTTGTAATATAAATATTTTTTTTACATCACAAGAGTTTCCCCACAAGATGATGTCATATGAGAGTACGGAATGAGCATGTGCATAGTAAGCCGCAAGGGCAGTTGATACAGTTTATCCAATAGAATTCTATAACAGACTATTTATAAATTGCTAAGGTGGTGGAGTGATTTTTCTTAAAGCCATGTTGGTTCACATGCAAAATTTTATATTTTTCATAAAATGAACAAATACGTTTCGCCATAGCCGATTCAAATATTTTAGCAGACGTAGGTAACAGAGCTATAGGTCGATAATTATTTATGTCAGTAGTTTCGCCCTTTTTATGCAAGGGTTTGATTACAGATATTTTGAGGGCATCTGGGAGGATACCTTCTGAAAAAGATTGATTTACCAATATTATATAGGGGATTGTTAACAAATCAGCACAACTTTTAATCAAAATAGGAGTCATTTCATCAATGCCGTAGGACGATTTATTTTTGAGATTTTTTATTATGGTATTCATTTCATTAGTTTCTACTGGGCTTAAGAAGAGAGTGTTTAGGATGGATTTTGTTAAAGTTGTTTTATTTAAATTACAGTTATTTGAGTGTAAATTTCCTATAGATGCATAAAAGTTATTAAATAAGTTCGCTACTATTTTAGGATCACATGATATATGTTTATCTGTTATTTTTAGTTGAACATTTCTATATTTTGGTGAATTTTTGTTAGTCTCGTTATTTATGATTTGCCACATAGTTTTAGTTTTATTTTGAGAATTTTCAAATTTATATTTGTTACATAATTTTTTGGATAAATTGATGGCTTTTTTTAATATTTTACAATACTGTTTATAATGATATTTAAAATTTTCATTTTTGGTTTTGGAAACCAATAACTTTAAAAATCTTTTATAGCGACACGATGTTTTAATCCTACTGTTAAATAATTTTTCTTTGGAGAATTTTTTTATTTTTATTTGGATTTTTGGTATACATTTATTTAAAGCTCTTTATGAGATTTCACTAAATATGTTATAATTTTCATTTAGATTTTTATTAGGTTTAAGTATGTCATCCCAATTTATATTAAAAATTTCATTTTTGAATTTAGTTATATTTAAGTTATTGTATATTCGTTTTTTTTTTCGGAGTTTCTCTGCGTGATAGACTCAGAAATGAGGATATCCGCAGTAAAACCAGAGTGACCGACATAGCCCAACGGATTAGTAAGCTGAAGTGGCAATGGGCCGGCCATATAGCTCGAAGAACCGATAACCGATGGGGAAGAAAGGTTCTCGAGTGGCAGCCTCGTACCGGTAGGCGTAGTGTAGGGCGACCCCCCACTAGATGGAGTGACGACCTGATAAGACATGCAGGAAGTCGATGGATGCAGGTGGCTCAGGACCGTGCTTTGTGGCGTTACTTGGGGGAGGCCTATGTTCAGCAGTGGACTTGTGAAGGGCTGCAATGATAATGATGATATTCGTTTATTTAATAAAAATTGCTTTAAGTTTTGTGTTGGAGACGGTATAGAAATTAATAGCTGAGTTTCATATCCTTTAATTTAAAATTAATAAAAATTAGATCAATGCATGTGGAGCTGTTTGGTGTAATTCTGGTGGGTTGTTTAATCTTTTGGTGGAAGTTATACGATAACATTAAATTAGAGAGCCTATTTTTTTCGTTATTATTTGTTAGGAAGTCTACGGTTAAAGTCGCCACCTATGATAATATTCTTAGAATAATCTTTTTTTTGAGATAAGACTCAATAGTTTTTCTAGACGTGAATATAATACTTCGATTTCCCTTTTGTATTAGGCCAGTAGAGGTTAATAATCAACAGGTTTATTTGAGAGATTTCAGTAGCACATATTTCAAAAATCATTTCGGTGGACAACGAAGATATATCTATTCGTTCGTGATATTCTAATGTGTTTTTTATTAGTATACATACTCCACCACCGTCATGCTCCTCCCGGCAGAAAGATGAGCTTACGGAATATCCTTCTATTTTCAATAAATCTTTCTTTTGTTTATTTAACCAAGACTCTGATATACATATGACATGAAAATTACATCTATCCTCTATAAATGCCTCAAGAAGGTGAGTTTTATTACAAATACTTTGCATATTTTGAAACATAATATTAGAATAAACTCCGAAAAGTAGAGTTACTTGTTATATTATTGTCTTTTCTTGGTCCTACTCCTTCGCTGGTTGTAGCTTGATTTGTGTTTTTTGTAGATATGGGAACGGTAAAATTTGGTGATTTATAGACGATTATTTTTGTATCATCTCTGCCTTCTGTTGTCTGCGTGTACGTATTGATTTTCTCATCAATTAGTGATAAATCGGTTGCTTCTTTTCCATTGATGATTAACTTATTGTTTCTTATAATCGCGTGGTGTCCATGTTTTCGCGCTATATATAAGGCATGCTTCAACTTTTTTCTTTTTTGCAAAGCTTGAGGACTTAAATACTCTGTGACACTGAAACCGGCTTGTTCTAAATATATGTAGTTATCTAGGATGTATTTTTTTCATTCTTTTGTTAATTAATTCGATTTTTAGCGGTCTTTTATTACTCCTTTTGCCTATGAATGTTAGTCCTTCTATATACCCTGTTAAATCTAAGCATAGTATGTCATAAAAATATTTATAACTCTTTCCATTACTATTTCGTCCGATTCCCAATAATTCTCTATGAATCCGTGTAGAACTAAAACTCTTTCATAGAGTTGATTGTACGGTTGGAGTACATTTTCTTGTGTGTTGGAACTCTTTTTGTAATTTATTATTTTCAGCCTGGAGAGTAAGGCATTTTTGTTGTAATTGCTTTATTTTGGAGCCTAAATTTGATATAACTTGCTTAAATTGTGTTTGTTCCAGTAAAATTTTTTTGAAGCTTTGTTTAAAATCGGCTTTTATTTCAGATATAGCGTTTTCTATTTCTTTTTGGAAGGAAGTTTGTATTGCTTTTAAGATATATTTGTTGTTTTCTTGCAATATGGATGTAATTTTTTGTAGTGTGATTTGCTCATCATCTATATTAGAACAAATAGTCACATCTTTTCCGATTAGGGATTTTGAAGTTTCAAAAGCTACAGTATTTCCTTGGGGCGATATTATAGAGTCATCATCACTAACTGTCGAGTTTTCTTCATCGAAATGTGATATCTTTTTTCTTTTTGTGATATTAGGATCTATTAGTAGATTTAAATTTAAATTTTCACGATGCTGTTGTTGTCGGATGGGCATGTTACTGTTGTCTGTTTTTGGTTCATTTGATCGACAAAGTTGGCATTTCCACAACAGTTTGTGATCTTTAGTCATGATATTGTAAAAACGTTTTTCGGATACGTTAGCACATTCGAAATCATAATTTTGGCAACAAATAGAGCATTTCAAAAATCTCCTATCGGGTATCTCTTGACGGCAGCCTGCACAAAAGCCTGCCATCTTAAGAGCAGTGGCGGTAGTTTGGTAACGATTCTTAGAAATGTCTATGTCAGCTATTCTACAATAGATGGCGCCACGTAGTATGTGAGTTACGTTGTATAATATAGCTCCCCAATCTAAACGCAACACGTTGCAAATTGCAACAGGTGTATACACTATTTCACACTAGTTGGCGTTGTGTTATTTATGAGCTAGTGTAACAGGTAAGGTACAAAGTCCATTTCTTAGTTCTCGACAAAGAACAATAATTCGTTATCCAGATTTAAAAATTACGCACTGTTTACTTACATTTTCACACATTTATTAAGTTTTAATTTATTGGTGTATTGTTCAAAGATTATTCACTATAATAATTTCTCCTTATCACAGTTTAAAGCTTCAACATTGTAAATTATTTCACTTTAAATTTTTTAACTTATTTCTCCAATTTTCCTTTCACAAACACTGTCACACATTACTTTTTGTTTACTTATCACTTTTATTGCAATTATTAGATGGAATATTATTGTTTACTATTTTTAAATTAATTTAAATGAAGAGCTAATGTTTACACGGACAGCGCCCTCTATCTCCTCAAAGACTTCACATGTCTTTGAAATATTTTTTTCTTATTCCTCAGTCACGCAGGTTTCCTCACGATGTTTTCCTTCACCGGCGAGCACGTGGCAAGTCAGCACTTTAAGTTGTAATTAACAATTTCATTGGTGCCGGCGGTTACTCGCGTACTATGATATTTACAGCGAGCGTTAACCATCTGAGCTACCACGACCACTACACTTAGTCTATTACTACTATATAGTCTATTACTGTTAATTGACTCAATTGAAAAAATACTTAGTCTGTTAATTGATAAAATAATTCAGTACATTAATATTTAAAATTACTGTTATTGTTGCAATCTATCAGAATAGCCCACCTTTGAGCGTATGCATTGATTACTTACTATGACGTAGTTGAGATGTTTGTATGGGGGTCGATTGCTCGTCGTAAACTTTTCAGTGCGTGAATTAGTCTGGTTCAATCTCCACAAGTAGAAGTTATTGAATGAAGTTTTATTAAATAGTGTATCAGGTTACGTTACGTTCGGCGCGGAATGAAAACATCGCAAGGAAGGTTACTTGTTTGAGAAATTTAAAAAAAATGTTTGGCGGCGGGCATTTTTTCTTGTTTGAAACTGTCTAAGAAATGAGAGAACTTGTATGTACTAGGTGGTGGGATTCTTTTTTTTTTCTAGGAGGCTATAGGTAGATACTACCCTCTTACCTATTTTTGTCGCCAAGTAGCTCTATGTTTGCATTACTCTCTTCCGGTCTGATATGTATAAAGAGTCAGAAGATGGAATGCCACACAACCTTTCATTATGACAGGTTGTGTGACATTTTATCTGAGTCGTTGAACGCATCTGTAGTGTTCTTAGTTTGAAATTGGCTGCAGGTATCGGCAGTAAGCACCTTTCATCAAATGAGCTGTGAGTTGTTCTGGCAGTGAGATTAGATTGTTGTGGGGGGTGGTGTGTTGGTTGCAGGCGGGGCGTAGCGTGAGCCTGGAGGGGCTGCCGCGCGGGAGGCGCGGGAGGCCACGTCTGGCGGCGCGCCGCGTCGTTGTGCAGCGCCTGCTGCCGCTGCTGCCCAAGCTGCCGCCGCCCAGCAGTCAGTCTGCAACCACTTATATACACAAACACCTCTGCGTACACTACTACACGGACGCTAGTCAATCTGCACTGAACACTATCTATATTGTATCTATACTACTACAAGCGCATTACGGTGCTAATACATTACGCACTAAAATACGCTCGATTATCCGTAACTCCTTTAGTCGACACTAACACTTCTATGTATCACACTTCTACACAAGCACATGTATGTATACTACTAGTCGGGCACTAGTCAGTCCGCACCATACACTACTAAAAAAACACGTGTATGTATATTACTAGACGGGCACTTGTCAGTCCGCACAACACACTGCTACACAAACACATGTATGAATACTACTAGTCGGGCACTAGTTAGTCCGCACTACACACTACTGCAAAAAAGTGTATGTTTGAGAAGTTCTGACTGTTTGCTGCAAAAACACGTGTATGTATACTACTAGACGGGCACTTGTCAGTCCGCACCGCACACTTCTGCACAAACACTTGTATGTGTCACAATTCAACACAACTTCCGCATATAACTTGTTCGCGGTATCTGTTCTAATACATAGTACATATTACTTTAATGGGTATTTACGACACTTAGAAATGAGGTGAAATATTTGACAGATTTCATAACGAACTGCGTTAATTTGGTAGAAAAGTGTAGACATTGATATTTCTTTCTGAAACATTACTTATAATTTTTACTATTTAGGTCGGAAATGGGTAAAACAAACTACGGGTATACCTTAAAGTACAGCACTGAGTCATTGTTTTGTGTATAATATACAATATACATACATTAGAAACCGAAAATATTTTAGAATTAACCATTACCTTTCAATGATAACGTCACTGTGTGACTATCTGCACGACAAGATCACATCAGTTTCAACTAGTGACATCTGGTGAGCGTAATTAGCCTTTATTCACGAAGTCACTTACTTACTAACTTACTTATCTTCACGCACAATCCCTAACGGGGTAGCCAGAGAGAATAGATCGCCAAGTGTCACGATCCTTACATACCTGTTTCGCTTCTTTCATGTTCATTAACTTCTTCATACATGCGCGTCTAAGTATCCGAGTACTCTTGACCTTCCCTCTTCTTTTTACTCTTCGAGTAATTTGCTCACATGGTCTTCGAAAGTTAGTCTCGGTCTACCTCGACACCTTTTAATATTTACTTTCGCGCTATATATTTTCTTCACCATTTGGTCTTCACTCATTCGCTCAACGTGCCCAAACCATCGGAGTACGCCCCTATCAAATTTTGTGATAAGGTCATCTTTCAATCCTGCCATATTGCGAATCTCTTCGTTTCGCTTTCGGTCGGCTATGGTAACGCCGCACATTTTACGAAGAGATCGCATCTCCACTGCATTCAACTTGCTTTTATGCTTCTTCTGGCATACCCGGGTTTCGCTGCCATATAACAAAGTCGGTACCAACACTGCGTTATGTATTGCAAGGCGTGCACTCTTCACTACGCCTTGCCTTTTAACTAACGCATTCAGGGCACCATTGACTTTGTTCCCGGCAGCGACACGCCTGTCCACATCTAAATCATATCTTCCATCCCGGCTGAAAGCACTCCCCAAGTATACAATTTCATTTACCTGTTCTAGACATTCCTGATTTACCCATATTTCACATTTCGTTCTCTCTTCGTCCTTTTCAAATACCAGAACCTTAGTTTTATTATTAGCATTCAAACGGAGACCTTTAATTTCACATTCCTCTTTCATACACGTGACTAATGCCTGTAGTTCTGCTTCTGATGGTGCAATAAGCACTGCATCATCAGCATACAGCAGACAATTAACTTTAATGTCACCCAATTTCACACCAAACAGCTATTTTTCAGCTTCTGTAAACAGCTGTCGAGATACAGTATGAACAGCCAGGAAGACATAACACAACCCTGTTTTACGCCCGCTTGGACGCTAAACATGGATGACAGGTCATGCCCTACCCGTACACAGGCTTTACAGTCATAGTAAAGTGACTGCACAGCCCTTAACTATCGACCATCCACACCGTATTCCGGCAACAGTTCCCACATTTTCTTCCTTATAACCTTATCAAATGCTTTCTCCAGATCCACAAAAGCACAGAAAATCTTCTGGTTAATACTCAGAAGCTTCTCCGTGATCATGCAGAGAGAAAACATTTGATCCGTGCATCCTCTTCCAGGTCTAAATCCGCATTGTGCCTCCCATAAAAATCTTTCCGATTTCTCTTGCATCCTACCTGTCAAAACCTTCGAGTAAACTTTACTTGCTAAACTGGTCAAGCTGACTGCCCGATGCACCCGCAGTCAAAATGTGAACCTTTACCTTTATATAAAGGCACAATGACCGCGGATCGCCAATCATCCGGGACACCTCCCGTCCGCCAGCATAAATTGCACAGCAGATGAAAGCTGTCCCAGACGCAAGGCCCACCGTACTTGACCATTTCAGGAGTAACTCTGTCTGGTCCCGCAGCCTTACCACATTTCAAACTGAATCGCACGTTCAATCTCTTTCATGCTGATGACCTCAGTGTCATCGAGCTAAACTCATGACACGCATACATTTCTCTATAAAATTCACTCCATAGCTTCATGACGTCCGATTTTTCTGAGTGAACGTCATTGGTTCTCGAAAGCACTTTGTTCATTCTTAAGGCTGTCGCATCACTCCGGGACCTTCCAACCTCTTTCCAGAAGAGTTTGGAGTTTTCCTTAAAGTTGTGCGGCAACCTTTCGTCCGCTTCTATTCTACACCTTTCACGTACTTCCTCGATCAGTGTTTTCGCATGAACTTTCTGCAGCTTATATCTTTCTTTCATCTTCTCTCTCATATGCTTATCGTTACTAGAGGCCAAGTAGTCTAACCATGCTTTTTTCTTCTTTACAGCTTCTCTCACTTCATCATTCCACCATGCATCTCTTCTTTTACTACTACCTCTTTTTGTCGTTCCACATACTCCTTCCGCTGCACTTACCATTCCATCCCTAAGGTTCTCCCCCATGTTCTCTCCACATATTCTTTCCTGCCATTGATGGTGTCAAGCTTTTCGGCTACCCTCTTGTGATATTTGTCCTTAGTATCCGCTTCCTGAAGATTCCAGCTGGGAAAAGTGTGCCCTAAATCTAGTAATTACTAGATAGTGATCCTTTCCTAGGTCAGCACCCCTGAACACTCGTGTATCCATCACCTGTTTTCGCAGTCGGTCATCCACCAGGAACAAATCAATCATACTTCTCTCATTCTTTCTTTCTCTAGTGTACATATGGATTTTCCTGTGATTAAACATAGTGCTTGTCACAAGAAGACCCTTTTCCTTGCATACAGCCAGTATAAGCTTGCCAGCATCATTAACCCTTTTATCGCCAAACTTTCCAAGCACCGACTCGTATCTTGGTCGAGCGATACCTACCCATCCATTCAAATCACCACATACAACAGTTCTTTCGTTTCCCTTAACCAAATCTAGAACTTCTCTTACATTCTCCCAAAACTCCTCCAGCTCAGCCCTGGACGACGAAGCTACCGGCGCATAAACAGCCAAAAGGAATAACTTCGTCAGTCCCAGTTTAAAGCGAACCCAGAGAAGTCTTGAGTTCACAACCTTATATTCAGTCATAAGATCGACCAACCGGGACGACAGCAGCACCCCCCACTCCCTAGCAGACGTTCTCGCTTTCCGGGACTCCGGACCATATAGCTAACGTCCCGCCAGGGAGCTCTTCAGTACCACTGCCTTTCCGTTTGGTCTCCGACATACACACGACATCTAATTCTCTTTCTTTCATTATTTCGATCAACTCATTCGTCTTATCTCTCATGCCTCCTATAACATTCCACGTGCCAACTCTGCACTCCGTCCTGCACCTTCCGCCGTATCGGGCTGTGCGTGACGGGTGGCGGTCCCCATCGCCGCTTTGCGCGCTGCATTCCACACCAACGGGGACGAGCTGATGTGCGTCGCCTTGGGGGGACGCCCTAACCCTCGTTTGCATGGGTGCGCAGCTGTGTAGAATTGCAGCCCTGAAAAGGTCTGGCAGGGGTCGCGACGAGCACGCTTCTACAATGACCCCCAATATTCACGAAGTCGGGTGGGCTTTACTTGTGGTAAACCTGTATCTGTATATGTATGTATCAAAGTGTGCGTGAGATCAAGAGCTTGGATGGTTAGCAACGGCACTCTCGGAACTGATCGCTTTCTCAGACACGCACACTATCGCAATTTGGATATACACGTTTAATCACGAGCAAAGCCCGCTCGACTTTTCGAATTGAAAGAACTATAACGGCAGTTGCCGAAAATAAGTTTTTAAAAAAACATGTGAAGTGTGTATCACACACGTCGTGGAGCAACGCGGCGAACTAATTGAGGTAGCCATCTACATACATATTGAGACTGTATAATGTCCTCCAGACAGAATTTTGGTCACGGCGGCCGGTCTCAACGGAGACTAGCCATCTGTGCAGGACAGGGTTATATTGCACGAGTGTATTCGTCAACGCAGGTGCATTCTATATTCCCTCACTTTTATAGTTCAACCGCACGGTTAATCCAAATCGATCGGGAATCGACCGGGGAAGGATCAGGCGCATGATTTATGGATTTACGTGCTTTCCGAGCCCCGGGAGTGAAACACCGCCAAGTTCCTGCCTCCGGGTCGCTACTGAGAATTTCTTGACAAATGGCAATTGAGACCACTCATCGTATCCGAAATTCGGTTTAGAGGACTATTATTCTTAACTTAATATTTAAATTGGCCGGTTTGGCTTATTATTTACACGGTTTACACGGTTTGGTTTTATTTTATAATCAATTATTTTTAATTCTAATAGATCTGATCCCAGTGAAGATCGTTCCCAACTCACCACCAGCGCCACCAAAAATACTACCGAAGCCCCCTCCAACATCCACTTCCGAGTAAGTATCTTTTTGAAGTATCTGCCTAATCTTATATACTTATATTATACTTTTACTTATTATAACCGAGTGCATGAATACAATCCCACCTGCTTGTAAATGATAATAAAAAAAATTGGTTGACCCTGCAGACCATCCCTGGAACTTCTAATTTCAAATGCAAAGCGCTCCAAATTTCACCAAATTATGTTGCGAAATTTCGAAGATATGTTAAAAAAACGGTTTTTTTTTCGAATTCTTTCTCCTTTGATATCTCACGAACGAATCAACCGATTTTTTTACTTTCCACTTTTTGATGTTAAGAGCTGATTAGTTTTTGAACTCGATCGATAAAGCCGTTTAAAAGTTATTCCAAAAAAACAGTATGAATTTTTTTTATTTTTGAGATATCTCAAAATCTACTCGTCTGAATCAGTTCATATTATAACAAAATCTACTCCACATTGAGATCCGAAACCGCATCTCAATCGATCAAGGTGTTCAAAAGTTATGAAAGGTTTACATACTTACATACAATCGCACGCACGCACGCACACACCCACGCACACACACACGCGCGCGCTCGCGTGAAATTTGTCAGAATAGCTTCCTAGGCTACTATCCAATCTAATCTATAAGCTATCCAAAACGTCGAGATCTTATGAAAACTCGATTTTCGAAAATAACAACCAATAACTTCCCTATTTTTAAAAATTTTCAATTTTCTTAGCGGGAAGTTAAAAATATGTTTGTAAACCCCACGATACAGAAGTAAATCCTAGTGTAAAGGTTTTTTTTTTAATGTGATAAACGTGTGCACAGTCCACCTGATGGTAAGTGAATACTGTAGCCCATAGACATCGACATTTACCCTTGATTAAGAATCAAAATGCAGATGCGTTTTCACTCCTGAGAACTAAGACGGAATGCCTCGTTTCCAGTAAAAATACTCCTAGTATAGTTCCTACCTCGGTCGAGCCAACTCATTCGTGCTATAACTATAATATAGCTGCGCATGAAGATAGAGATAAAAATAATCCCATTCACAGTCTGTCCTTCTTCTACGTGCTGAGCGAGTCCAATGGACAATTCTTCTTCCACGATGGTGATAGAAGAATACCAATCACACCTCTGCCCGGCAACGGTACCGAGGATCGGGATCAGGAAGGTATGAATTTTAGTTTGAAATAAACACATTATTTTTCAGGCCTTTACAGTTCACCCCTGGATATTACCTCTCCATTATGGGAATGGTTTTGTATTTACATTTAGCTCACATGCGAATAGGACATACGATCGTATAGCTCGACGAACCGACAACCGATAGGGAGAAAAGTCCCCGAGTGACAATTTCGTACCGGTAAGTGGAGTGTCGAGCGGCCCCACTAGATGGAGGGACCAACTGGTAAGACATGCTGTATGTCGATGAATATTTGGGGCTAAGGACCGTGCTTTGTGCGTGTTGGTTTTACTTTCGGTAGGTCTATGCTCAGCAGTGAACTTGTGATGGGCTGCAATGATGATGATGATTATATACGAGATTGTATAACCGTTATATATTGCGAGCTATAGGGTCCGTTCTGATCTTTACCATAATCGCTTACATTACTAAATCGGATAATAAGTTATGTTATTTCATCCTATGATATGGAGAAACACCACTACTAAAGCACTTTAAAACTTCAGTGCTTACGAAAATCTAAATTTTTGAAAGTTTTGGATGTGGTAGCTATGTTGCAGCTCGACCGGGGAAAGATCACGCTCTCACAGAATACCAGCGTAAAATAGAAGCCTAATGCTCCTGTTTCTTATGGTGAGTGTAGATAACCGGAGATCCTTTTTACTAGAAACAAGGCGTTCCATCTCAGTCCTCAGGGGTAAAAACGCATGTGCATTTGTTTTCTTAATCTAGTTTAGATGTAGGTGTCTATGGGCCACAGCATTCACAGAATGAGTGGATGGTACCATCAGGAAGACTGTGTGTCACCTCCTTACTACTTAGTGATGGTTTATCATTAGTGGGATATTTACTTAGGTAAGAGGTAAGTTTAATTTACCACTAGTGATTTTTCCGGACCGATACGACTTAGGGACCTTCAAGAGAAGAGGCTACCCTTTTTTTAAAGGCCGGCAACGTACCGGCTACTCTCGTGGTGTTGCAGTTGTTTATGGGCGGGGATAGTCACATACCACCAGGTGAGCCGCATGCGTGCTTGCTTGCTTGTGAGTTCGTTTGTCACTTTTGCCATTCAGCAAATTAGTATTTTTAAAGGAAATCAAACCTTCACAGAGGAGGAGCTAACGGAAGATGAGGACGTGAAGGAATTCAAAATGGATATATCCAAAACAGAGGTGACCAAGCCGATGCCGCAGTCCCAAGATACCTCCGTGACAAGTGCCACGTCCAAACCCAGCACGCTCAAAACTGAAAATTCTGATATTACCAGTGAGTTGATTTTAGATCATTTTTGTAACGCAATCAATGATTTGTGTAAATACTGTTATTTTTACAGTTACAGTTATTATTCAAAGAGTATCCAAATTTTATAATTAAGTTCAAATATATAAATAATGATATACCGTTATTGCAGTTTTTTTTTAAATTAGTAAATAAGGCATTGAAGTAATATGTACTTACGTACTAGAACAGCTATTTCAAACAAAAAATGTGCGCTTCTCTGTGTTCGCGCGGTTTGTTTTTCTTATCATAGAATAAACATAGGTAGATTGATCAGTAGGTAATAGTAGATTGTATTGTTAAATAGGTAAATTATATCGAGAACAATTTTTAAATTTTGTCATTAATTTTGTATATTATATTTGCATATTTAATATAATATTACATAATATTATATAACAATTACATTTTAATGATATTTTTATCTCAATATTTTAAAAGGTATCTATGTCAAATATAAAATACATACTAAAGGTATGTTTAACAAAACTTATTAATATGACATTTTAAATTACAAATATATTTATTTAAATTAGAATATGAGTCGTTCATAAATGCTGGGCACGCGAGAGTTATAAATGGACGAATTTATTCCACTTTGACTTTGATGTGGAAACCTAAAAATAAAATAAAAGAACAATGAGCCGATTTAAATATAAAAAAATTTAGCTTAATTACGATAACTTATATATGTTTCTACAAAAAAAATGTGTATAATAATATATTCATCCTATACTTAAGTACCCACAGAATTGTCGCATCTGAACAAATTAATTTCATACAAGTAATCTATATTCCATGACACGAAATGGCGTCTTAGGAATAATTTGTTTTATTATTAAACTTTAATACTTTTTTATTGATTAAATATCTTATTAACCGATGAAAAGCAATTCCTTGGTTTTACTGACATTTCTTGAATTATTTGTGCAATATCTAAGTACACACGACTGTATATTTTTATCAAGAGATTTTTTTTTAATCAACACAACACGTGACAACTCTACAAGCGCCTAGCGAGTGACTGATTAAAGTGCGGTGTAGGCACCGCAGTTGAGTGAAACAGAGTAGCTGAATGCAGTGTCGCCTCTAGTACGTAGTACATAATAGCTCAATGAAATAAGGCTTCCATATTTTTTTTAATTATGCCACATTGTGTATGATTTATAGTCAACAAACAATGTGCGATTCAATTCACAACACTTTTGCCGACCGAGCGACCTTTACGAAAGTGTGCCTGCGTAGTAAAATAGTAGGCGTTAGATATCTATGAATGACAATTAGTTATTACCACGCATTCTGAATTTAAATGATAAAAAACAGAAAATTTGAGATTTTTTAAAGAATTTTTCTTCACAATTCGCCTATAGTACATATTCTGAACCTTCTCTGCAAAGGCGAACTCCCAAACACATTTTGTGGACTTTTTTTCTTACGTCTACAAATTAAAAATATGTACAAATATAGACGTTAAAATCCTAAACAATTTTTTCTTCATTCCTCCCCATCAGACTAGGCCGTATGGTATAAGAATTTTGCATGCCTCAATTGACAAATCGTTACAATAATTACAACAAGTCAATATAAATTTTTATTGTGCTTATATAAGCACAGAGGGAATCCTAAAAATATACTGAGAAGAGTTTTGTGTATAAAATACATATTCGACTAGGCTTTATGGTATAAGACCTTTGCCTGCCTTAATTGGCAAAGCGTCACAACTACAAGTAGTCAATTTAGTTTTAAATTGTTAATGATGATTTTTTCTAGACTTCGATAGGTCATAAGCTTGAGTAGATAAAACACAGTAACTTGTTTTATTGATATCTGTAACGGTGACATAAGTAGACGCTTAATAATTCCATCAACAATTTCGTCGCCATTATTCTTTATGAGGTAATAATAAAAAACCAAAACCAAACATTTGACTGAAAAGGGGCTATATGAAGCGGCTAATTGGTTTGAAGATAGTCTTCTTTCTCTTAATGTTTCTAAAACCACATAGCTTTAACGTGGTAGAACCTCGCTGCAGCTATATTATGGTTGTAGCACGAATGTAGTCAGCTCGACCGAGGAAGGACCGCGCTCTTACAGAATACCACCGTAAAATAGCAGCTTAATGCTGCTGTGTTTCGTATGGTGAGTGGAGAGAACCGGAGACCCTTTCTACTGGTAATAAGGCATTCCATCTTAGTCCTGGGGGTGACAAGGGTGACAACGCATTTGCATTTTGATTTGTAATTGAAGGTAGATGTCACCCTTATTCTATAAAAAATAATGCATTAAAAAAATCCTCGTGACGCACCTCGTGACGTAATGAAAACTGCCAAAGACTGCAACTGATCTTACAAGTTATTTATATAACAACAATGCTGGACATAGGTCTTCCCCAAGGAATTCGCATGATCTGAGGTGGATGTGAAGGGCTGTAATGATGATGATGATGTTTCTGCGAGAGCGTAGTTCTACACCGATCGAGCTGAACCATTCGTGCTACAATCATAATATAGCTGCAGCGTGGCTCTACCACGTTGCTAGTTGGTTATGAGAACACCGTTAATGACACGGCGGCGGGCGCAGCGTTCCTGCCGGCGGAGTCGCTGTCGCTGTCGCCGTCACGGCTGCTGGCGGCGGACGGCTGGCTGGCGGGCGGCGGCCACGACTTCTCGCTCAGCAGCTTCCTCGGACACCTGGACGCAGACGACACGCACCCCCATCAGCCCGAACTGCCGGTAATCATTCCCCACTTGCTTAAGGGGATTATGTTAAAAAAAAACATATGTTATACTTAAGGTCATCACTATTGTTTAAATTTTTAATATAATGCCTAATTTTAGAAAACAATCCAATTATATAGGCTCGTTTTTAAAATAAACTGTAAATTTTCTCAATAACAGCTTAAATAGTTAGGCATGAACTATATACCAAAGCGATTTTATTAATAGATATATAAATAGAAACCTTTTATCCAATATAGATTATGAGTTTTACTTAATATAATACCTTTGTTTTGGGACGAACCAGCAAGAAACTCAGCGGGATTTTTTTAAATTGTTTTAGAGTTTTTTAGTGGTCGTAAACACGACTCCTGCATGAGGACTCCAATCGGGTCAAAAAATTAGTTAATTTATTTTTTTATCAGTAGCAGTCCCGAGTCAGAAACTTGGCGGCGTTTCACTCCCTATTAAAGCCTAAAATTATTCTACGCCTGATCTCTCCCCGATAGTGTCGGATTACCGTCTCATCGGACTATTAGAGTAAGAAAATAAGGAGTGCACTTGTTTTTGCGCACACACTCGTGCAATATAATCCTGTCCTGTTCAGATGTCTGTATCAGTCGGAACAATATTACAAGCCGGTGCTGAACTGCAAACCTAATAAGTGCAGCTCTACATAGTAGGTAAATCTCATTGTCTTACGTAACGTAACGAAAGCCTACTCACCATCACTTTGAATATATATAATTATAAATGGAAAACATTACTAAATTTAATAAAACTATATTTACGGATTTTATCGCGTTTAATCAACTATTTTAATTAACTATTTTAAAATTTAAAGGGGAGAGAGAAGTCAAAAAGTTACTACATACCACCGCGGCTTTTAACTCTTTACTATAATGAATTTGTATCGCAGGTGGACTCCCAGATACAATCTCTAATGGCGGAGTCGAGTATGGACTACGTGGCCAAGTTCGCGGACCTTGCCGCAGAGGTCACCGACGAGGTGGAGCCGCTTGAAGAGAAACTCACATAGCCAAGCTAATTTGACTCTTAATGCCTTTGACATAGAAGTGAAAGACGTGGAAACAAATCATTTGATCATGCTATATATAATTTATATTTTTTGTTTATATTACTTACATCCTGAACCTCCCCCACCCCCTTAGATATTGTGCTAGACATGTGTCTACAATCGTGCTATATTTTTCTCACATCCGTTTTAATGATATAATTTATACAGATATATGTACAGTGAAACTGTGCGTTTCTACATTTGAGTAATATGTACTTCGTACTAGAAAAGATGCCGAGATATGCTTTAATGCAAATATATGGTTTAATGAAATATGGTTTAATTAGGACCAGCGGGCTCAAACTCACTTAGAAGTTAGTTAGCTTTCTTACTCTTTCCGTCTTCCACGCGCCCCGTTCTGCCGCGCAGATTTTGTTCGCGATGTCTGTTCTAATACGTAATAGGGGAGATCCTTGTACCTTGGGTCGCTTTTCTTTAAACCTCCATAATTTAAGTTCAAATTTATCTATGCCCTTGAATGTTGAAATTTATATTAGGTAGCCAATAACATCACAATAATATGATGTAAAACACGACCAACTATGTTTTATCAATGAGAAAATGACAATTAATTACTTTAGGATATTTGTCCCAAGGTATAGTCATGGCTTGTACCTCGGGACACCAATGTTTGTACCTTGGGACACATTTTTGTAAACCTAAACTGCCGCCAGATGAATATTAACTCTATCAATTGACATACATATTTCATATACCGGAGATTTTGATATGAATGGGCAGCTTAAATGCTTTGTTAAAGGTATTTAAAGCATTTAAAAACAAAGATAATCTTAATTTTATATTAATAAAACAACAGTCATTACAAAGCTTACTTATAATCACTTTTTAGATACTCAGGAAAATAAAAATAATAACAAAACTTGTTTACAAACATTACTATTAGTTTTCTTTAGACTTGATACCGCATTTCTGACAGTAATTTTCAAAACAGGTGCAATCTTCGTGCACCCAGAATCGGCAGGTGCAACACTGAATCCAGTCTTCTGTGCTGGAAGTAGTGAAATAATTTTCACCGCAACCCACACAATTATTTTCCTCTTGATCGTCATCACATGAATCGTCATTTTCTAAGATAACATCAGTTTCATCCTCAGAACTACTACTTTCTCTCTCAACTTTTTTTTAAAAACACGCTTCTTGACAGATTTGATTTTTTTATTTACTTCTTTTTTTCTTTTTTAGCAGCTAAAAGCTCCAATTTCTCTTTTTCAGGAGTATCGGTTAAGACTCTTGTCTTACCTTTTCTATTTCTAGTATTATTATTCTTACGTGGTGGGGCCTTTGGAAAAGGACGAATGGCTTCAGGTGATATAAGGATATTTTTGTTTGTGTCTATAGTACCAGTGGATGTAGATGGTGCTGGAGATTCTATTGCTACTTGGTTATTGTCATATTGTTGTTCAATATTTGCATATTGTGATGGTCCAGGTAGAGCAATATTTGGTTGTATTTCAGCCACATCCAATCTGGTGTGCGTAACGGTGTTAGCATCTACATAAGGCCTATCAGTAACATATGAGCTCAGGAACTCATCTTCGCCAAAAATATTATCATTAAATGGCCATATTCCTGCAACTTTAAATCCATTTTGAATGTTGGATGGCGTAAAAGCTAATGGAAAAGCAGTGCCAAAGCATTCGGCGACATTATATATAGTGAGAGGAGTTCCAGGATGTTGCAAAAGCCAATCGTTGCAAGCTTTGTTATAATATTTCTTGAGTGGACCAAATACGGTTCTGTCTAAAGGCTGTAACTTGTGGCTGGTGTGAGGAGGAAATGTGAACATTACAATACCATTATTCTTGGCCAACTCTATGATTTTAATCGAAATGTGACTCTCGTGATTGTCCAATATCAGGAGCACTTTATTATCATTATTAGGTCTAACATGTTCAATGAAATGGTTCAAAAAATCCTCAAATTTATCACCATTGGACCACCCACTGGGAGTTGCAAGCCCCAAAGTCTCAGGAGAAGCACCATTAATCATGTGGCTCTTAAAGCGCACTTTAGGAAAAATCATGCAATGAGGAACCGAATTCCCAAGTGCATTCACGCATGCAATAACAGTGACATTATTACCTCTCTCTGCTGATTTAGTATTCCCAACTTGTTTTACTCCTTTTGACGCTAAAACTTTCATTGGATTGTGTACTGTAGACATGCCAGATTCATCTACATTATAGATCCTTTCGCTTGTAAAATTGTATTTCAACGGCAGTTCCTTGTATTTATTAAAAAAACAAATTAACATTCACCTTATTAAAAGAAGTAGCACATGCTAAACTCGTTGCTTCTGGTTTTCGCAAGCTTAAATTTTGATGCCTTTTAATAAAATATTCATAAAATGTCTTACCAGCTTTTTTATTTGTGTCCCAAGCACTTGGATAAGTTTTTTCAAAATTACTGCATATTCGAATGCTAATTTTAAAAAGTCATCTTTGCATATTCCGTAGTGCAACTTGGATGCCTTTAACCAATATTCAACCAATTGCTCTTCTTCTTCATCACTAAACACTCTCTTGACAGCATTCAGAGGGTGATAGAAGACCTCAACATTTTCTTTTTCTTTGTTCAACTTCACGTAACGGCCTATTAAAGATTTTGCGACATGAAACTCTTCTGCAGCTTTCCGAATAGATAAACGTTTTTCAATTACCATTTTAATTGCACTTTTTACATTTTTCTCACTTGGTTTCGGCCGTATGACTTTATCTTTACTTCGCGGCATCTAAAAACATAAAAACAAAAAATAAAAATATAATATTAAAATAAATAGTTGAAAAAAGCATTGGCTTGTACCTTGGGACTGTCCCAATTCACTGTCCCAAGGTACAAATTTCAAGTGATTAAGAATATAGATAACAACTAATTGTATCATAATTAAATTACTCACCTCAAAATATTTCGTCTAAAGCAAAGATTCAAGTGGATTGCAAAAAAAAATCTGACGAAAAAATCACACTGCATACCACATCTAAGGAACGAAGCAAAATGGCCGATTTTACTGCATGCTTTCTGAATGTTGTAATGAAATAGCTACAAGATGTCACTACTTACCACTTCTCAATGTAAAATATCTGACGCAATGAGCTTGTCCCGAGGTACAAGGTGTCCCAAGGTACACCACCACAAGGGATCTCCCCTACATATCACTTTAATATCAAAATTTTTAACTTTATAACTTTTTTACAGTAATAATTGTTTTTCCTTCCATTCGTTACTACAGCTCATAAAAAATTGTCCCGTAGCGTAGGAGTAATTTTGCTATGGTTACCACGCTTAGCTGGCGGGAGGCAACGTCAGCTTTTTGTTATTTTAAGTCCTGATCAGGAAGATGCTGCTGCCTATCTCATATTTCAGTTTTCCTCTGTCGCCTCTTACGACACCCACGGGATGATAATACAGGGCAGTAGATATTCTTACCCGCTTTAATTTCGCCAATTTTAATTATGTTACACAAACTATATACACACTTATTTTGTTTAAATCGTAATAATATGCACTATTATTAAATATATCGGTAATACTAAATGTACTTTGTTTTAATTTAATGTAATCGTAAGTAAAAAACGACTTCAACCTTATGTAATGACTGTAAATGATTAAATGATCATAGATATTGAATAATGTTATTTTATTTTTCATCTACGTTTGCCTAACTTTAACGGCTCGGTAATGCAGTAGCTAAGTTGCCTGCAGGCTGAGGATTTGAATCCCGCACGGAAAAATATACTGGATCATCTTTTTTACCGTCTGAAAAAATTATCGTAGAATAAATATAGCTTCCCCGTGGCTGTTCAACCTATTTATGGACAGCTGTTTGGAAAATTTGAAAGTTGAAGAATGCGGGTTAAGAATGGGTGAGTTAACCATCAAATGCCTTTTGTACGCCGATGATCAAGTCATACTTGCGTCGTCGGCGGCCGAGTTGCAAATGATGGTTACATTAATGAACAGGTCATTAAAAGAAAGGGGAATGAAAGTGAACGCAAGTAAGACGAAAGTGATGGTTTTTGAAAGAGATGAAAGCAAAACGGTATGTGAAATAAGAATAGATGGAGAGTTAATTGAGCAAGTGGATGAGTTCGTATATTTGGGATGTGTATTCAGCAGGGATGGGAGATATGATAAGGATATTGAACGACGAGTGAATGCAGGAAATAAAGTAAATGGGGCTCTACACTCTATTGTGAAAAGTCAGAATGTGTCAAAAAAGGCACGTATGGCAATTCACAGTGCTGTATTAGTCCCTACTTTAACGTATGGTAGTGAAAGTTGGGTGTGGCAGAAGACACGAGAGTAGAACAAATGCAGTAGAAATGCGGTCGCTAAGGAGTATGTTAGGGCTGAATCTGAGTGACAGGGTGAGAAACTGTGTGATAAAAGAAGAGTGTGGTTTGCAAGATGATGCGGTGACCAGGATTAAGAAAGGAATGCTTCAGTGGTTTGGTCATGTAGAAAGAATGAATGCGGAAAGACTGACAAAGCAAACATATGTTGCAGAAGTGAATGGAAGAGTCGGAAAGGGACGTCCTAGGCGGAAGTTTGTCGACCAAATTGGCGATATACTAAAAATGGGTCAAATTAAGAGTACCCTTAACCGACGAGCATGTATGCGTAGGTATATGGATGTGGAAGAGGCGAGAAAGGTATGTCAGGATCGTGCTAAATGGAAGTCTGTAGTCTCTGCCTACCCGTCTGGGTGACAGGCGTGAGTGTTTATGTGTTATGTATGTATAAATATAGGAAGAATGAACGTAGGTAATAGTATATTGTATTGTTAAATAGGTAAATTATATCGAGAACAATATTTAAACTTCGTCATTTATTTAGTATTTTATATTTGCTTATTTAATATAATATCATATCACAATTACATTTTAATAATATTTTTATCAGAATATTTACAAAGGTATCTATGTCAAATATAAAAAACATACTAAATGTATGTTTAACAAAACTTATTAACATAAGATTTAAATTACAAATAAATTTAATTAAATTAGAATAAGAGTCGTTCATTTATGAACCAAAACCTCGGCCACTAACGCGATGGAGATGCGCTCTTGCAACGCCAACCACCGCCTCAACGTGTGCAAGCCGGAGGCTCGAATTTCCGCTGGATGCCCCTCCCGGACATCGCAGCAGCCAAATAAGTCCTACTGCTGGACATAAATTCGACGACCTCCTTCAGATATATATCCGTGTCCCTACAATTCGTTCCGCAATCCGACCGGATCAGGTCCGGCAAACCGCGACGCCATACGAAGCGGCCCAGTGTGGCAAAAACAAAGGCTTCAGTGCTGAGGGCACTTACAAGTTCTAATTGAACGACCCTAGTGGCGAGGCACACGAAAACGCACAAAGGACTTATGTGAACGCGCGTTACGAAGGCTGGGTGACTTGACGAGGAAGGGGCCAGCAAAGTCGGTTCTGACCCCAGCGAATGGTCGGATGGCCAGGACGCGTTCGGGTGCTAAGTCACCCATCATCGGCTGCGATATGGTGGCCTTCAATTTATAACAAAGTAGCACTTAAACATGACGCTCCGAATGGTGCGTCGGCCAGCCAAGATCCAAAACTCCCGCTGCAAAATAGCCGAAGCACAAATATAAAGGCATAAAAAAACAAAAAAAAAAAAGAAAAAACAAAAGGGGCACGTTTTAAGAGCTACATCGTAAAAATGTAAAATGTCAAAAACTGATAGTAAGCTCTACTAACAATCTTTTAACATATAACGTTGAATGTAAAGTTTGTTGTAAATAATAAGTTACTCAAATATTTTATCTTCAAATAAAACGTTAGATAATTAGAGCCCTAGTCTTCCCACCAACCAAGTGGAGGCCACACAGCTTGCGAACCCGAATACAATAGAGCGTAAATCGTTAAATAGTCGCCACTCGAGTTGTACGCCTTCACTGAGGCCGTTGGCAATAGAACAGTATGACAAGTTGACTGTTGATGACACAGTGGATCAGTGGAGGTGGCCATGGTGGGAGCTAGGGCGGCCGTTACCTAGCTGTAGCGGCCTCCATCGGACCGGCACTCGAAGGGGGTACCGAAAGCGGCATTCCGGCGACCTCTCAATGACCCGTGGTTGAAAGTCACCGAACGGTCCGACTTGGGGAGCTTCGGGGAACCTCGGCCTTGAGGACCGAGACAAATTCGAGGTTGCAGGAACCCCGTAGTACCGGTACCGACCAAAGGGGAGAGGGTGGTACTCCAGTCGCGGCCTCTCAGCCAACGGGGGTGAGAAGGGTCTCGCTGACCACTGAGTGGCTGTGAAATTCGTCTCCACACGCTGAGGGGGGGTGACGACCCCTCGACCCCTGGCGGAACATCCCCCCGACTGGTCGGGGGACGTTCCGGGGGACGACCCCCTTCAAAACCAGGGGCACATTAGCCGGCAGGGGAGCGACGAGCGTCGCCCGACAGAGGGCGTGGCTGAGCGCCCCCGCCCGTTGGGGTTGAGGGCCCGGCATACCCCGAGAGGAAGCGCCGTTCGCACCCAGGCACAAAACGGCATGGTGATTGCCCTGGCAGTGCGGACAGGGCCGCTGGTGCGGGCAGTCTCCTTGGAGATGCCTTTCCAAACACGAGTAGCACCAGCGGCGCTCCTTGGCGATGGGTCGTCTCGCTGGGACTGGCTTACTCAACAATTTCGGGCACATCGTCACCCGGTGATCGGATTCTCGACCACTATAAAATAGGCCACTATAAAAGGTAGGGGGCGGCGCCCTCCCGCGGGAGCTCCGCTCGGTCTGAGGGGGGTTGGCGACGACTTGCCCGGGAGATTTCGCCTCTCCGTGGGCACGGCGCCGTCCCCGCCGTACCTCTCCTCGAAATGGATCCGAAGATCGAGGGACTGGCCCGGTCCTTAAGCAGCGGGAGGTTTAGCAGCTGCTTGACGTATTCGTCCGCAATTCGCCGTACATTGGCATACCTTCCGGCGAGGAGGTCCCGAGCATTCTGGTAGGCGTCGTCCGACAATTTCAGATGACCGACGACGCCCAGGGCCTCCCCCTCCAGTGAGGCCAGGGGGTAAGCCATCTCCTGGCTTGGTGTCAAATCCCTCCGGGCGTCCACTAGGCTATCAAACAGACCCACAAAGCTCAGCTAGGCGGAGAGGACCCCGGTGAACCTTGGCAGGTCCAGAGTTGGGAGTCGTCCCAACAGCTCCGGCTGAGTAGGCTGCTTCCGAGGGGACTCGAGCAGGCCACTCAGCCGAGCTTCAAGCGCGTCACTAGCATACTTGGCCCCCGCTTCGATTAAGTCGTCCGTGAGCGAAAAGAACCGCTCGTAGTCCGCGAGGCAGGAGTCTAGGACTCCCTGTTCCGCTCCCGAGGCCAAAAGCTCAGTGCAAGCCTCCTCCGCTACGGCCCTTCGGGCCATGACCTGCTTGAGCCGCTTCTCTAAGCTATGGACCCGATCGGGTCGCCCTATCAAGGTGTGGGCGTTCGCGGCCCAGCGCTGCTCCGCCTGCAAGCGAAGCGCCAGTGGCTTGTGCGATGGCATCACTATTAAATACAAATACTACTAAATTAAATTAAACACAATTACACTACACAATTAATTAAATTAATACACGGCTAGTACTAACTACAGTCGGTCGACAAGGATGCCATGCTGAGGCGACCGACCCTTCGGCAATTTAATCCA